GGTAAAAGACTTGTCCTAGAGGATATCAGATCTAACTCGAGACATCGGCAGCTCACCGCAAGTCGTCGTATGGGCAAGTTATGCATTCAATCACTTCTACGATGCTTAATGAAGTCGAATTCGTGGCGTATGCCTCAGGGATTGACCAACGCCGAACGCCCTATTCTTTTATCCTTCTATCCGGACGGGAAAAACCCAGGTAATTTCTATTCCGCTTAATGGTCTTTATCTCCTCTCTCAATGCTCTACACAACGATGTGGATAAACTAGCTGCAGATCTGAAATGCAATAAATGAAGTGCTGTTTTTTATCGGTTCGTTTCCTTTATGACGTGATTGTCGCATTCGTTTTCACCGTTTTAGCAAAATTCTTGAATAAAACACGAGTATGGCGGTTCAACTCAATGAGCCTTTTTACTTGAGTGCATACTTGAAGAACTTAATTTTCACGAATTGTCTGATTCTTTTACATTTGTTCCTACTGTGAAAGCTTTTTCATTCCTGTACTGAGATGAAACTAAACTAAATACGATCTTCTTTTTTTATATGGATTAGAAAATTGTTTGTCAATTTGCTTAAGTGGTGAACTACTTGATATGCACGTACGCCCACAGATGAGCGTTAACGCATGAACGTCATCATGTTGTTGTTTGTCTTTTATTACAAAATCTTTTTCTAATGCTTAACGAAATCATGACTTCTAATGTTATTTAAGCTATTCTTCCTTTTGAACATGATCTTTCGTTGCACTTTTTTCTTTAAAGCGCAGCAATTTGATGCTTTCTGATAACTGAGACCAGCTTAACCAAATATGTGCTATAAAACTTGCTTCCTTCCTTTGGATTGAGTCTTCTACCTTTTTCTGCTGGGATAAAATGGTATTAATGGTTAACTACAAAGGTAATCTTTAACGGTAATGTTCTCCAGTGTCAGAATTATGTGAAAGTCACTTGAAAACGTGAAAACCTTGTTTACATTGATGTGAACTTTTCATGAAGTTTTGTTTAATGAAGGAAATTCAGAGGGCTATTCTAACACACAGCAGGGAACCAAACAAATTATTGTCAGCCCCACTTTCATTTATGACAACACCAATTTTTCGTCGTTGTGCTATCCTAAATTTTGATGATGCTGGTGGCTACAGACATATTTTTTTCCTTTCGTTAAAACTGCGTACTGACGCTAACTTTTCTACTATGCGCGTTACCCAGAATTCTTCGGCTAGTAATTAAATTTGACATTTCCATGAAGAAGCATAAGAATAAACAGGCAGTGTTTTTGAGTGTTCTATGTATTTGCAATTTTCACTGAGCTAATTGATCTAGCTGAAAACTGTAGATACGTTTTTGTGAATTTCATGTGAATATGCTGGGAATTTTGCTTCTGAATAAGTCAAATCCCCTTTTCAAGTGGTTTAACGACCTCATTCTGAAAGTTATCTTCTCCTGTTTTATCATTTCCTTAGCAAAAGCGCCTAATTTGAGCGAGAACTCGATGTTTCCGCTCAGGAAGCCCAACTAAGGGGAAGTCAATTTTAGGGATCACCTTCGTCGTAGAATAAGCCTAGTCGCAAGGTGCAAGTGTTGCTTCGATCAACATGTGCAGGCGAGTGCCTGTCATGGTGTCTTATGAAAAGCTTAAAATGGCTATCTAGTAAATTCCTGGAAAGAAAGCCTTCTCCGACCAACAAATTACCGGTTTAACGAATATTATGCTGAGTCTTCCAGGATTCGTTGTGAATACGGACTATTCAAGTGCCTATGCATAATAATAACTAAGAGAATAGCCTTCCTTTAATCGAATTGCTCCATTACTGGTTACTGCTGGGAACCATCCGCACCACAAATATTCGAATCGACAGAGTTCATTCACCTAGATTTTCCTTATGATGATGTTTTTAAAGGTGTCAATAATTCTAAACGAGAACACTTTTCGTGCTAGTTAGGGCCTTCTTCTCGTCGGAAAAAGTCTGACGCAAATGTTCTGATTTGTAAATGACGTGAAACGAAAAAATTTAAGGGACGTCATAGAGAGTTTTGTGCACCGTGGTAGCGATGGTGATTGATTGGCGCGTGTTTAATGGGACAGTTTCTGAGATGAATTCAGATTGAAAATTTCTGCACTGTTTTTCTATCAGGTTCGCCTTTGAACGCTTAAGAACCACTTGATCTAATCACCACTTGTAGTCCATCTTAGCGAATTTTTTTCCTTTTTACGCTTTGGAACTCTATGTTAGAACTATAAAATGCCATTCCATTTCTTCTTTATATTCCGATTAATCTGCAATGTTTGCGCACATCCTCATAATGCATTTAAAATGTTCTGCAGAGGACGTTGCTGAACCTTGGATAGAGTTTTGCAACCATGTCAGTCATATAACACTCATACGTAGCCGAGATTAATTTGGCCCTTCATGTTTGAGCTAGCACATTTAAACTCATAGTGAACAATATTAACTGAGATATAAATCATTAAAAACATCAGATCTTCGCAAATTTCATGTATCTGTATTGATTCTATAGTGGTGAAATTCTGATTGTATGTAGCCCATAAACCAACTTTGCTTCCTCGTTTTTTCGTCAATGCTTGTGTCCTGGACCATGGAGCAATTGAAAAGGCGTCAATTTCGTCCGTCAAAAAGCGATATTCTCCTTGGTTGGTCTAGATGGTTGATCCCTGTGCTCTAAAAAGTCTAGGTACTGCAAATTAAGAAAAAATAGTGGGAGTACAACCACAATGATGTTGAAATATTTCCAAAATTCCAGACTGCATGTGTCTGCGGTGGGAGAACGAACGCGATATTGTCCTTTCGGAACTAACGCGTTTACCAACACACCTTGCGGATCCTTCGTTTCGCCTCTCTCAGCTAATTTTTTATCAATCATTGCGATCAGTATGGTGTTGTGGTGAACGCGATAGCCTCCAAAAAGTGTAATAGCGCGTTCGTTCCCCACCGCAGAAACCTATGGTCTAGAGTATTGCAAATATTTCAGCGTCACTGTGGTCGTATCTCGCATAATACTCTGGCCCTAGAGAATTGTAGTAGGCAGCATATAAAGGTTAAATAGTGGGAGTGTTTCAAAAGAAATCATATTAAGTCTTTCTCCTTGCCCTGTTGTTTATCTTGTTGTATAGCGGCTTAGCATGCGATTTCTCACTCGCATGATGTTTCCTGTAGGCACTTGACGTTATGCCTATTTTCAGTAGTGAATGCGTTTGCTTTTATGCTAATGAAATCCAAACGAACACGACTTTCTTTCCTTTCGAACATTCCAGGCGACTACTAGTTCTTGTAAATAACCGACTTAGTTCAGTCGGTAAAATGACGATATGATGAATAGGGTACTCGTTCGAAGCGAGCAGTAGTTATTTTCGTTTAGAAATGGGTTCCATCTCACAAAAAAAATTACATTTCGCGCCGATGGTGGCCGGTGACAATGTTGTGATGTGGATCAGCATGTACCAGTAGTAGATGATCACTCACTCAAGCTGGTTGCTTTTGTGTTATTTTAATTTTCTGTTTTACAAGCCGTCTCCATTTTTTTTTCTATATGAAGACGAGACATTTTAGAATATTTGCAACGTTCCCACTTATAACGTTTTTCACAGCAGCAGATATGAAGTAGAGAAGGAGATTATTAAGTGTTGCAAAAATTTTCCATCAGACGTGTTTCTCTTTGGTTCTTAATCACTTTGATTTCATTGTGTGTGTGAAATTAACATAAAGAGCAATTGAAGAGGAAAAAAACTGGGACTGCTTATTTTTTTTTCCGGAAAGGCTTAGAGAACTTCGAGCTTCTCTGATGTTTTCAGAGGTCTTTATTATCTTTCTAATGCGCGTCCCGGGACTTCGCTATGTAAGCGCGCAGTGACGACATTGATATTTATAAGGTCAGCTTTCCGTTGGCCGGTAATCCTTCAAGTCGTTTTATTCCCTTGCAACTGGCATTCAGTCCACAGAAGTCGGATTCATACGTGAATAAAACTAGTGCTTAAAGACCTGTCCCCTTATCTCTTCACAGTTATGTTGAACTCCGTGTCAATGTAGTTTGACGTGGAACTTCACCAGAGTTGTGCCAGGTTCTTGCCAAGTCGTCATATCAGACAATGAATCAGTTGGGATCTCTTCAAATTTGGTGAAAAATTAAAGACGGCAACGGTTCCCGTTGTGATATGAGCAAAACTCGAAACCACAGCTTCAAACTCACTCTTGCTCCTTTCCGAAGACTCACGTGTTACTAACAGCACCATCGAGACCCTTGCTCTGCCTTTCTCTCAGCCAGTTTTTTTCCTTAACGATGCAATCAGTAATCAACCGTCAGCAGGAATGGTCTGGGGGGCACAACTCGGCGTCGAAGCCAGTTAAGCTGAAGCTTTTTGCTTATATCTCAACATCATTGTGGTTTCATTTCACAAAATACTCTGCCGTGAAATAATAACATGTAGTAAAGAAAAGTTAAACATTGTGATTCCTGTTATATTGATCAGCTGAACGTTGAAGAATTGCGTGGCAGGCCAAATCCCAAACGACCTTTCTACTAAACGAACGATGTTTATTTATTTAGATGGCTCGTACCCGAAAATCACGCGGGCATTAACACTTCAAACCTTGTAATAAGTAATTTGAGGCTCATAAAAGTTAATGTTTAGAGGTGCATTATAATCTACACGTTGTCGGTCGTTAGTTCAGCCAGGCGCCCTCAGTTAAACAAACCTCTATTTACTTTGTGCTTTGGACGTTTGTACAAAATTTGTCTGTGCATATAAAAACGCTGCTTTTACACATTGTTTCCATTCAATCACCTCCACGATGTTTGATGAAATTCCTTAGGGATTATTCAACGCCGAAAGCTTTACCCTTTATCCGCTGTAAGAGGATTATTAGGGATTCGAAGTTGGTTTATTAATAAGTTCGCAAAACTAACAAAATTCTTGACTGATAACTATGATAATTCGATGACTAGAGAAACACTTCTTATAGATTCTTTTCAAGAGCTCTAAATGAATTTGGGATGGTGGAGAATAATGAAGTGGATAATGATGCAGGCCATCAGGAAACAAAGGGGTTCAATCCCCTACCTAACCCTCTTCTCCAATCCACGTGAGAACGCCTTAGCTGTGATACTTCCAAGATTGCAAGGAAAATCGGCTCGACAAGCATTCTGCGACATTCATAAAGAGGATGAAATCCTCAAGCAGCAGCCGAAACAACATACGAAGTGTTCGATCGTCGGTGATGGAAGTGAAGAAACGAATCGAATGCAAGAAGTCCTGGACTCCACACTATAGATCTGACGATGTGTCATGTAAATAAATGAATAAAATATTTCAACCACAACGTTGCTGAGATATTTGCAAAACTCTGGACCGCAGGTGTCTATGGTGGGGAACGAACGCGCTATTATCCTTTCCGGGGAGTAACGCGTTCACCACCACACCATGCGGGTCCTTTGTTTCGCACGTCTCTCAGCTATTTCTATCGATCTTTTTGCCACAGCAATCACCCGTCAGCGGGGTTGATCTGGGGAGCGCAAATCGGCATAGAACCCAGTTAAGCTATGGCTGTAGTTGAAATCACAATGTTTAACGTTTTGTTTTCTGCCTTCTATAATTTTCATGGCAGGTTACTAAGCGAAATACAACCACAACGTTGCTGAGATATTTGCAAAACTCTGGACCGCAGGTGTCTATGGTGGGGAACGAACGCGCTATTATCCTTTCCGGGGAGTAACGCGTTCACCACCACACCATGCGGGTTCCCCACCATAGACACCTGCGGTCCAGAGTTTTGCAAATATCTCAGCAACGTTGTGGCTGTATTTCGCTTACTTAGTAACCTGCCATGAAAATTATAGAAGGCAGAAAACAAAACGTTAAACATTGTGATTTCAACTACAGCCATAGCTTAACTGGGTTCTATGCCGATTTGCGCTCCCCAGATCAACCCCGCTGACGGGTGATTGCTGTGGCAAAAAGATCGATAGAAATAGCTGAGAGACGTGCGAAACAAAGGACCCGCATGGTGTGGTGGTGAACGCGTTACTCCCCGGAAAGGATAATAGCGCGTTCGTTCCCCACCATAGACACCTGCGGTCCAGAGTTTTGCAAATATCTCAGCAACGTTGTGGTTGTATTTCGCTTAATAACCTGCCATGAAAATTATAGAAGGCAGAAAACAAAACGTTAAACATTAAAATATTTCATTTTATTTACTTTATTTCACTTTTTATTTCTACTTAAAAGATTTATTTCTTCATTTCTGTGACCATACATCAGTCGCTCTTTTTCGAAATTCAATAGATTCGAACAGCTTCAGCGCATCTTTCATTGTAGTGCTTTGGTTGTTATACTGAAGAAGTTTTGAAAATGTAAAAATGACACTCATTTTCATCAACATTAATCGCAAAAATTTTTCCCTCGTTCCACGATCACGTTGCCGGTAGAGTTTTCTCTTCTTCTTGTTTTTCCCATATTTTCTTCTTTTCCCATTGAATACAAATGAAGGTAGGAAATCAAGAGTCACTAGCCTTTTCTTTGACGATTTTCCTAAATTATGCCCTTTGGAAATCTCAATTCTATTTACATTTACTTTAGTATTGATTTTTTAATTGGATAAAACATCCCTTATTGCGACTTTGCCTTTCTTCTTTTCATTACATTTTCTTCATTACTTATGCTGGCTCATTTCTTAGTTTGCGTTTATTTTGTTCCAAAAACTATCTGAGTTGCGGACCGTCCATTAATTTCATTGATTTGATCAAATTAAAGATCGTGGGTAATGCAATGCAACTGATGCTCATGGCTATGGCTTGACGTCCCCCTTCCCGTAATCCAAACCCTCCATGTGTTGGGACATTGATCACAGAGTTCGACCGATATCAGCTCGCTCCCTTCAATTTACAAAAAACGACTCCTTCCAGTCATGAGGATCTGGGAACAACCGAGCACAACTATCTGGGGATTTCAGTGATAATCGTCTCGAGCAGCATTCTTCGCCATTTATAAAATTGCTAGAAGTTCTCAAACAGCAATCGAACTTACACATGTGATCGGAGAATGTCGTGGTTGATGCAATCGAGGAAACGAATCGAATACGAGAAGCGCTAGGATTCACACAGTAGATATGATCTCGAGTCATGTAAGGAACAAACTAGTACTTGAAGTTTCCTTATAGTTCTCTAGGCGACCGTTCAGTTTTCAATCTTTGCAACTTCACATAAATTGGAGTGGTATTCCTTGATTTCAATCGCATTTTTTCGGTTGCGGATCTTTTTTAGTCCAACTGTCTACGAATAGCACTTCCCGCATTCATTTTTTTCGCTGATTACTACTATAATAGTTCATTAAGCGGCATGGTGAACATATTTGAATTAGCGAAAAAATCAAGTAATCAATCAGTCAACCGAAGAAACACTAAAATGGATGTTCAGTGCAATATGTCGTCATTTGCACTTATATAGCGCGCTTTTTTGTTTTGTTTTTTAGCCTAGAGAACCTGTTTTTTTTTTTTAGATAATCATCATTTATGCCAAGCCTATTTAATCGTATTGGTGGCGTGTCGTAGAAGGATTTATTAGTGCCATCGAATTTACTGGCTCTAACTTTTATTTACTGCCTGTTCTTTTTTCATATCAGGGTACAATGTCAAATACTACCTTAAGAATGGCTAATGGAAACGCAAAGCGAGTACCTCGCTTGGTGTGCACGTGAGCATTCTTGTAAGTGTAACTGCGGGTTCGATATCCACCCGAGGTTCCAGATTTTGGTCATATCTCAGCATCATCGTGGTTGTATTTTACCTGTTTTTATCCGACCACTTTTTCGATCATTCTTTTTCAACTTGAGATCACTATTTTGTGATTTCACTCATTTAGGAGTCCGGCATTTTGATACTACGATGAAGTATCACTTATTTCATTTAAAAGAAGAAATGAAAGATAAAGCGGCGACTAATTTTAATCTATTCCTTAGTGATGTTTCTGGCATTCGAATTCATCGTGGGTCGCAGAAGGAACGATTCCATGTATGACTTATTGACTTGCGGCGGCCTACCCGGTCCGGTCTAGCGGATAGGGAGGGGGGGTCTGTTGTTGATCAGTCCTGGACGCAGGATTCAGCCAACGACCCCGTGTGTATTTAAGGACACCCCTGGTCCTGGTCACTGCGCTAGAGCTGTACTGAAAGATTTGTTCCAAAGTTAACTAAGCAATTGAAATTTGTTGTTTACCTTATAAATTAGAATGAAATTCACATTTCATTGAAATAACTCTGTTTTTTGAAATATAGTGTACTCGAAATTGAGTCCACTGAATGTCATTTTGTTGTTAGTAAAATACGTGTTTTCTCAATAGTTATTGATATTTGATTGGAATAGAGTTCGAGCCGTTAGCTTGCTCTTACTCTAATTCAATCAATAATTCTATAGCTTCACATTACTTATTTTTTATTTATTTACCCGATCCGACATCGAATACTGTGCGATTCCCAGCATTTCTTTTATTCTGCTCGTTTTTCGCATTTATCATCTATGAAGGTGTTCGGATTTTGCGTGTGGGTTCGGCTTCGGTTTGAGGATTTTTGCCTTCTGAATTTCGTTGAGTATTGGTTGAGTTGATTATTCCTGGAATCTCATGTGAGCTATCCCAGCGCATTTTCACCTGTTCATGTGAGGTATTACCAATTCTTGTGGATTCAAGTGCTCAAGTTGATCGCAGACAAGTCTGCTAGCAATTTGCCGACTGTGGAAGGGTGGTGTGCTCTGTTGTCCTAATGCAAATTCGAACCAGAGCTTTGAACTTATTGAACCACTTCACTACCATTCAGTACTGCAAGAATGTTTGCAGATCTTCATCTGATGCAATCGCAAGTTTAATGGATCAGAGTGACACAATGATTGAAATAGAGGATATACTGCTTGTATTAAACAGGATGAGGATGCGTAGCGCAGTGGTCGGAGGGGTTCTGCAATACATATGAAATCGATCCCCGCGCCTCAGACTCACCAAGCCCTCCATCCCTCCAGAGTCGGCAAATTGGTACCAAACTTTTCTGGGAGGATAGTAACACTGGCTCGATACATCGGTAGACCACCACGAATCGTTATAAAAGCCAAGTATGCATTCACTTACCTCCAACGATACTTAATGAAGTCGAATGCATGGCGCTCCCTTAGGGATTGATCAATGCCGAGTGCTTTATCCTCCACGCTTTTATATTAAACGGCATCTCCAGTCTCTGCGCTTCCCGCGCCGATTCGACGTAGTCAATTGAAAAAGAGATCTATAAAATATGGAAGGTTTTAGCCAACAAGGTACAGTTTTTCCTTTTCCATTACCACTTTTTTCTTCTTTACGCACCATGATTTTTGTCCGAGCAAAACTCATGTTTTGAAAAGGAAGCGATTGATCCGTTTGACAAATGGGATCCCATCTTGAAGAGGGTTGTGTCATCCTTGTCCCAGTCGATAAAGTTTATAGCTGCCAGGCCTGTTTTAAAAACGTTTGAAAGCCCTCTATTTCCCTTCAATTTCAGCAATCTCTATGATGAAAATGACATTTTGAAAAATTTACATACCCTTAGAAGGATTCGGCTAGGATTCTTGTGTGATGAAAAGCGGTTTACTTGGATGCTTCGATTGCTCGGTAGTTGCTGTAAATTCTATGCAATTGCGAATCTATTAATGGCAGTGAATGGATTGAGCTATAGTTCTTTTCTTTCAAATTACGAGACGTTTGTTTCTTTTTAGTCGTTCTTAATCCTCGCCGCTAAAAAGAACAGTTTTCGTGTCATTTGCATTGTTCGTTGCTCTGATTGCTACACTAGGAAAATTGTCTATTAATTACGGGAAGCATTTAAGAAAACTTAGAGTAGAAGGAGAACTTTGAAGCCAGTCATTTTCACACTGTATGCTATTCAATAGTATTGCAGCTGGGTCTGCATTTTTTCTCAGAATGATTCCTCTTTGAATCGTCTGAATCATTTTACATCCCTTTTCATTTTTGCATCGTTTACAACTTCAAATACCAGTTCTCTAACTCTACTCTATCTACATGTCATGTGATTGTCACCTATCGTTAAAGCTCCCCACAGTTTGCAACCGGTGTTAATTCTTTTTTCATGTCTGATGTATTTTGTGCGAATTGATGCAGTGGTGCATATACAGTTTCTCGATAAAAAAAGCCTTCCTCATAGCTGTTTCTGACAACTGTCGAAATGTGTCCTCTTTCACCTCGGTGTTACGTGAACAGAAAATGCTTTAGTGGTTTACTGCCTCATGTGGAAGTGTTCCT